GTCTGTCTAAGGCCAATCTTTGGGCTACTATGCCACTTTTTCTCGAGAGCTCGACTGGTGGGGGTGAGTCTCTGGGAATACACATCATTAGTAAAAGTTTCTTTAGTGACTGGTTGTAGTTGACAAGAATGATCTATGGGCATAAACACAAAGCTTAAAAGTGCGTGTGATGGCCACATGACCTCAATTTAATAAAACAATAGAAGTTGCTTTCCACTGGGACTAATAACATCCAAAGTCACAGGTTTCTGTCCTGGCTTACAGTAAACTTGGTAACAGGGGCACAACCTTGGCTTTAAACCTAGTGAAGGTGTGCGTCATTGACTTTAAACCTACTAATAGTGACATACCGCTGGCTTTAAACCTAGGCCGTGGTTCACTGTTGTCTTTAACCCTGTTACCATGGTGCAGCTATGACTTTAAATATCTAATAATTATGCACTAATACCTTTAAGCCAAAGACAGCGGTGTACCACTGGCCTTGAATCTAGTAACAGTGGTGGATTTCCTTTTCACTCATTTTCTTGGAATGGTTTTTCCACCTTCACTTTCAAAATTTTGTGTCCTTTTGTTCTACAAATGTCTTTCTCAAAGCCTTTAGATGTTTCTTCATTCTAACAGCTTTTGCGCCATATGTACAACATATAAGTTTAAGATGGATTTCTAAATATTATTTCCAGCTCCATACTAACCTGGACTTACTTCTGTCCCTTCCTCCTTTCTGTTCCCTTCTTCTAGTTTTGCAATCCTTTTAAAAATATACTCTGATTTTCTTTCAACAAGTTAGAAACTTAACTATTACATTCATTTTGAATTAGTAATCTAAAATTAAGCTATGAAAATTTTTGTCATTGTTGTTGTTTGAGACAGGATCTCCTATAGCCTCAGCAGGCCTGAACTTTTTATGGTGACCAGGCTGACCTTGAACTCACAGAGAGTTCCCAAGTGCTGGGAATAAAGGACTTCTCAATGGTGGCCAGCTCATATGGAATTTTGATGCCTGGTGAGGGTCCTTCTGTGTTTTTATTCCTAAAGCAAAGGCGTCCTGTGCTTCACTTTGAGTGATCAGAGATTGGCCTCATGTTGTTACCCAGTTAGCTAATTCCAAATGGTGCAGCTGAAAAACAAAATGCAGCTTTTGAAAACAAGGTTTGCGATCTTGAGTGCAGATTTAATCTTAGAAAAATGCTGACTAGGGAGGGAATTTTTCCAGATGGTGTTTTTACAAGTTTCTTTAAAGATAGAGCTTTCTTTGTCTTATTTAATCCTTTGATTACAAAAGAGTACCTTTTATTCACACTTCCCACACTGTCCCAGTGAGACCCAGGAGAAACACACCGTCAAACACCTCCAGTCTCCCACAACTGGCCAACTCTTTCCTGAGTTCTATAATACAAGCTCTCTCCTCTACTCCCACTACTTCCTATAGGACCCAACTCAATTTAGACCTTTTTCTTCAGGGAAATCTCTTAGACTACTCTGGGGCCTAGGTCATTGCTTACTTTGAGTTAAAGCCCCAGTTTCTACTTCCACACAGGCAGCCAGATGTGGTGATGGTACTGTGTTGGGGGCCTGCTCACTGTCTTCTCATATTCCTCATATTCCTCTGTTGTAAGGACCTGACTCCCTCCACCAGGGCTCCTCTGCCCCGGCTGGGTCTAAGACATCACAATCTCTTGACTCTCCTGCAGTGCTTCCTCTTGAGAGCTGTCCTTTATATTTCAGGCATCTCTGACCTACTTACTCCAGTCATAAACAGAATAGGAACTTTGCCTAATCTATTTTACTGTTGGCTATGTCCACAAGGAGACTCAATGCTGACAGATGAGGTGGTTCTCTGGGCCACAGAAGACTTAATACCTTTGGCCAATTCTACCTATTCCACAGTTAGACATGATAAAATAGGAAGCCCTCAGCATATAAGGCCCCAGTGGTAACAGCCCACCCCAACAGAAAATGTAGATAGGGCCCAGGTCTTGACAAGAAAGGCTGTCTTCATTTTCTATTATATAGAAGGAACTGTTGTTGGGGGTCCTAGATAACACCTCATCCAAGCAAACATTCTCTTTCATGTGGGAGTCCATTGCTGATATCCCTGGATGGGAGCCATATAACAACCAGGATGATTTGACTTTCTATACTTCTTCTGTCACTTATGGTGGTAGCAATATTAACATAAGTCCTCGCTGATTCCTTTTTGTCTTTAAGTAGCATCCAAGGTAACCATTTAGCTAGAGGAAGCACCACTGGCATTCTCATAAATACAACTGTAGTTCTGTCTGCTGCCAGGTGGAACCTCACTTTTCTGTTATAACTTTGGCCTTCCAAAGCCTAGCCTGGCAGTCCCCCTCATAATCATTCCCCTGTTTACCAACCTCTGCTCTGAGGGCCCTACAACTTCGCTATTCTAGCCACTACAGCAGCCTGTTGACAAACCAATGAACTATACATTTGAATTCAAGGACCAACCACCAGAGTAAGCCTTAAGAAGACAGGCTACTAATTTCTCTGTGGCTTCATCTTCTATCTAGCCCTCTTGACTGAATGGTGGGGCTAATATTCAGTGGTGGCTTTCCCTAATGTCCAGATTGTCACCATCTCAGATTGCCCATCTTCCAATGTTTTTCCGAATCAAGGCTCCTTTCTAAAGAATACACTCTTACCTTCACATCCTTGCTTCAAATGTAACAAAACTAAAAACTCAAGAATATCTGGCAGTCCTCATTTTGTGCTGAGCTGGGTAACTTTGGACTGGTCCATTCTTGGAGGACTCTTGGCCAATGTGAATCTCTGCTGTAGAAATAAGTATCACTCTCATCCTATGGTCTATCTGAAAGGCTAGGGTAAGCCTCAACTCCCTAGCTAGAGTAGGCAGTCCTCCAAAAACAGAGAACCCAGTAGCTCCTTACTGTAGCAGCAAGGGGAACATGCACCCTCCTTGGTGAGACCTGCTGCTTCTGGGTCTAAACTTCAGAAGTCATCTCTCAAAAAAATCAAGGAAAACATCAAAATACTCAAAAGCCTAAGTTAAAATCAAACTTTAGCTGGGACAGCAGCTTCTATAGGCCCTTTCCTATAAATTTCTAAGGACCCCTTTCTTGTTTGTAATGCTGCTTTGTTTCTTTGGCCCCTGCTTTCTTAACTGTCTGATATGATTCATATCTTTCAGATTATAGGCCATTGTGCTCCAAATGGTATTGTGTCCAGGATACCAACCATTATCACTAACTTGGCTCCCACTACTGACCTTTTGACCTCCATGCAATGTCCAGCCTTCAGCTTCCTCGAATAACCACACTCCTCCCTCTCCAAAATGTGGCCCAGGTCATGCTTTATGATCTGTGATGGTTCGTATTTACTGTCAATTTTATACAATCTAGAATCACCTGAGGAGGGAGTCTTAATGAGGGATTGTCAGGATAAGACTGGCTGTTCTGGAGTTCAGCTTGGAGCCCAAGCTGGCCCTCATCTCCAGAACATCCCGCCTTAGCCATGTAAGTTCTAGGATCACAGGTGTTGACCACCACTCTCAACAAAGACTGTTTTCCTGCTGGCAGAGTGTTCTCCAGCACGAGAGCTGCCTGCTCAGTGCACGACTTGCCCTGCACAAGGCGTGGCCTCCTGGGTCATAAAGCTGGGCAGAGGCCAGTGCTCTGCATAACAAGGAAGAGCATAAGATCTGAGTGCAAGGAAGGGTTGGTGAGGACAGGGTGGGACCCAGACCAGGCTCCAAAGAACAATTTGCAGTGGGAATTGAAATGTCCAATGGGAATTTCTTAGAGCTGGTTGCTGGGATTGTAGGAATTCTTTCTCCTCTGTTCCTGGGAGGTCTTCTGTAAAGTCAGCTCAACTCTGTGGAGCCAAGGTGCAGAAATTTTCATTGAATTGAAACATTACCTCCACAAAAGAATGGGGGGAGACCCATGAGATTCCGGAAATAAACTAATTTCTCAAGCCTGGGAAAGCTGAAAAATTCATAATCCCCTGGCTACAAGGATACAGAAGCTGGAAACCCTGCTGGGGAGGAGACACTGACCTGCCAGGCTGCCTGCAAGTCCAGCAGAGAGCTCCGGGCCTGCAGCCCTCCACAGTCGGTGCCAGGCTGGAGTGAGGGCTTCTCAGGGAAGCAACTGCCTTTGAGGGATCCTGCTGCTGAAACTCCTCCCCACACCTATCAGGAACAGCAATCAATTCATTAGTTTGGCAGATCAAACTATGATGTTTGACTATGGTCTATCATGGGTTTCCTGGCTAAGATCTCCCCTCCTGCCCCAAATTCTTCTAGGAGAAGAGGGGGTTTGGAAGCCTTGTTCTGCATCCGTCAACAGAAAAATGTCAGTCTCCCATGGCAGTAAGACAAACACCTGAATGCTGTGAGGCCACCTGCTTCCTTATGAGGCCTGGCTTCTAGTGGACAGCCACTGTGCTACTTCTGTTTAACAGTTTGTTTGGCTGTGCTCCCCTGACATACGGGAGCCAGAACTTGAAGCATGTGGGGGTGATCCTGCAGAGGGGCATGCTCATCCTGCTCCTGTGTTGCTTCCCCTGCTGGGCACTCTTCATCAATACGGAGCACATCCTGCTGCTCTTCAGGCAGGACCTGGATGTGTCCAGGTAAGCCAGCACAGGGTGGGGGTGGCGTGGGCACCCATCCTTTCAGAAAGACCGTCCAGACTCAGCCTTGGGGGTGACACTAGGACAGGGTTCAAGCTGCCCTAGGCTCATCCTTCCCAAGCCTTGGTACCTTCTGTACCTTGCTCCTGAGAACTAGATTTCCTAGATGGCTTCCAGGGTAGAGATTTTTACATGATGCTACATTTGCAAACATCCTCCCCATGGGATGGCAGTTTGTGGCTTGTTAATCAATTAGTGATTTCTGACTCCAGTCAAAATTGAAGTCACCTGGATGCTATAGCTTCCATTCTACGCCTCTGGTCCCCATGTACCCAGATTCTTAACTGCTTCAGGTGAGGCCTGGGCATCCATAACTTCCAAAGCTTCTGTGGGTAAGCTGCTGTGTCCAAGACTCTGGCTTAAGTGATTAATACTTTTAAAGAGCATTTGCCCCACACTTGTAGCTCTGAACCCAGGGGCATTTGGTGATATCTGAAGATATGTTTGGCTATCATATTGAGTAGAGGGGCTTGGGAACCAGGAAGGCTGAGAGACAGTCTGTGTGCCGAGGGCAGCTCCCACAGCAGGGGACTGGCCAGCTGCAGTGTGAGGCTCAGAACCCCTGTCCTAGACCTGAAGACTTGAAAGAAGCAAGAATGGCAATTTGGGTTAAAAGGTGATAAACTCCATGTATACTTACTTTTCCATCTGCCCCAACAGCCTAAGTCCACTTATTTAGAAGGAGCCCAGAAGGCACTTGGCAGTGTTTGTTGTTTTATTCTGCCTCTTTTTCACAAAATATTGGCCCCCGTCATCATTTTCACTATTTTCTCTTATATAGGCTCACCCAGACCTATGTCATAATCTTCATTCCAGCTCTTCCCGTGAGTTTTCAAGGGGTCCATGGGTGAAAAGTGGCTGGGATATCATGAGCTCAGCCTGGTGTGATTCCCACGTGACATCAGCTCCTTGTTGGGGACCCCTGCTGTTTTAGGTCGTAGTCTCTCCATGTCCGGATCGCCGCAAGCTGGCTCGGCGTTCTTATGCAGAGACTCCCTTTCTCAGCGGGGCGCCTTCCTTCTCTTCCTGACTCACCTTTTGAAGTGCCTGTCACAGATACATGTCCTCTGGCATGAAACTGCCAGGTTTTTCAGGCAATGTCTGACAGCCTGATAGAAGCCCACCACCACATGTAAATGCGGCATCCTACAAAGCACCTATCAACTAAGGCTTTTGCTACTGCCTTCACACTATAAATATCCTGGTTTCACCCCAATAAGGCGGAGCTGTATCACGAGCTGTATCACTGAACTTGCCTGAAGCTGTATCTGTGTCTCACCGTGCCTGTGATACAATCTCCCCGGAGGGGGCTGTCTGTCAACAACCACTCACGAAGATCTTGCTTTCCCTGTTCCTGCACCCCCCCTGGAGATCCGGCAGCCAACGGATCGCGTACACAGAGGGAGCGTCTGGCAGATTGGAACAGAACTCGCCCGGCAGCTGATAGTGTCCCGCCAGAGTCAACAGCGACCGGTAGCCGCAGAGAGCCAGGGACCCAATCCAGCGGCGCGCGAGAGACCAGCGGCACGCCAGCAGCTGGCGCTCTGAGATCCCCTCACGCCCACAGCTCCTCACAGAAGTATGGCTTTGATTACGTTCCTTAAGGACAAACCAGTATTTGTCTCTCAGAAACACCAGGACATGGTGACTGGAATTCAGGAGACCACTGTCTTGACCTTTTATACCTCCAATATCCTTGGGGTCATCCAGGGAGAAGAACCTGGGCTGTGTTTTTAGGGGTAATACTTGCCCATCTCAGGGGACATCACTTTGACCTTTAGACTTTTGTGTGTGATCACACAGATCTGTAAGTATGTGCTAATGTTTAATAACTAGCTGTAGATGGTCAATGAACAATCAAAGCTGGGTTCATTCAATTGGATAGAATGGCTGATGTTTACTAGGATTGCCACAACATAAGGCCACAGTCTGGGGGCTTAACAGTAGAAATTAGTTTTCTCACAGTTCAGAAGGCTAGGGGTCCTGGATCAAGTGTGAATCTGGATGCTTTCCTCTGTGGCCTCTGCCCATGGCTTCCACCTCTTGACCTCTATTCTCTTTTGTTCCCACATCACATAGTCATCTCCTGTGCAGGAAGCCCCTGGTGTGTCTTCTGGCAAGGACACCAATCTTATTGGATTAAGACCCCCACCCCAAGTCCTCATTTTCATTTAATTACCCCTTGAAAGACCTCCAAATATGGTTAAATGTAGGGCACGGCTTCCAAATGT